TGTGTGGTCTTTTAAGCTGACGTTTTAATGTTTGTGTCAGAGTACTTCATAGATACAAACATATAGATTATTGTTAATCTAAACATCAGATCAAACCAAAATACATATATATTATTTGTGTTTTTTTTTCAAAATGACCTTCGATTTGAAATAAAATCATTTTTCTTTTTAAAAATGTATTGTGGTCAAATGTTCAAAACTGTTTTTGCACTCCATAAGAACTCAATTCTATAACTTGTATGGGATTAGTAATCATAATATTTTGAACTAGTTATTAATTTAAATGTTGTTTTTGTTATGTGTTAAATATTTCGTTTTATTTTAAATTTGCAATAATTCAATATTGAATCACTATTTTTTTCGTTTAAGAGTTCAATAAATTTGTTCCAATGTATTAAGTGTGGGTATTTGTTTGTAAATTCATACACGTGGCTTTGCAAAATATTAGCATACATCTGTCGAAGATCAATTTGTCACCAGCGCCCACTTTATAGACGTTTGGAATAAGTGTGAGTTGTATTTGAATATTTTAAACTGTTAAATATATTTTGGGAAAAAATTGTTGTTGTGGAACTAAAACACAAAAATATTAAATTAAATTGAATAGATCAATTACAGACCATATTTTCAATCATATTTAGGGAAAAAGTTTAATATTTTTTAAAAAAGCTATTGAAGAAAAACATCATATACAAAATAATTTCGAAGTGTTTTTTTGCGTAAAACTTTTAATAAAAGAGGTAGTGGTGAAATAGATATTAAAAAAGCAAAAACCTCTTACTTATGCTTTTTCACTTTAAAAAAAACTGTCCATGAAATCGTTTTCACCGCATATTGTTAGAAAAATCTTTCATATTAGTAGTGTAAAAACAGTTATTTGGTTAAAAAGTTTCATAAAAAATTAACAGATAAGGCTAAAAGCTTATTTCTATAAAGTACTTTTAGGAAAAAAGCATAATTTGGAAAAAAAAACTTTTTGTTGCAAAGCTTTGAAATTTTTTTGGTAAAATTTACTTCTTAAAGCTTTAATGCTTTTGATTTCCTCAAAGTTTCTTTTTATTTTTTTTTTTGGCAAAGCTTTTTAAACCTTTTAAAGTGTTTAACTTTTTTCTAACAAAAAATACGTTTTTATATAAAAAATTTTAGGATAAGAACAGTTTTTAAATTATTTTTTAAGAAAAAGCTTTGTTGAAAAAGCTCGTTCCCGATATGTTTTTGAAGCAAAACAAATCTATTAAAAAAATGTTTAATGAAAACGTTATTAAGATTTTTTGGGGAAAACTTATTGTTTAAAAAGTTCTGGTGAAAAGTTTTTTTCCAAAAAATAACCATGTTAAGGAAAAGCTCTTGCTTTAAAAAGTATTTGGAAAACAATCTTTTATAAAAGCATTTTGAAGGAAATAATAGTCTATAGTCTAGTCTATTCTATAGTCTAGTCTAGTCTAGTCTATAGTCTAGTCTATAGTCTAGTCTATAGTCTAGTCTATAGTCTAGTCTATAGTCTAGTCTATAGTCTAGTCTATAGTCTAGTCTATAGACTAGTCTATAGTCTAGTCTATAGTCTAGTCTATAGTCTAGTCTATAGTCTAGTCTATAGTCTAGTCTATAGTCTAGTCTATAGTCTAGTCTATAGTCTAGTCTATAGTCTAGTCTATAGTCTAGTCTATAGTCTAGTCTAGTCTATAGTCTAGTCTATAGTCTAGTCTATAGTCTAGTCTATAGTCTAGTCTATAGTCTAGTCTATAGTCTAGTCTATAGTCTAGTCTATAGTCTAGTCTATAGTCTAGTCTATAGTCTAGTCTATAGTCTAGTCTATAGTCTAGTCTATAGTCTAGTCTATAGTCTAGTCTATAGTCTAGTCTATAGTCTAGTCTATAGTCTAGTCTATAGTCTAGTCTATAGTCTAGTCTATAGTTAGTCTATAGTCTAGTCTATAGTCTAGTCTATAGTCTAGTCTATAGTCTAGTCTATAGTCTAGTCTATAGTCTAGTCTATAGTCTAGTCTATAGTTTAGTCTTAGTCTAGTCTATAGTCTAGTCTATAGTCTAGTCTATAGTCTAGTCTATAGGGATTGAAAAAGAAATGGGAGCTTAACGAACATTTGTCACAAAAAAGTACACAGAGAAAACAGATTCGTTGTGGTAACCGAATTTGTTTCCAATCGAATTTAGTCGGTTCCCACAACTATCCCATAATTCTATTGGGATGACTGAAAAATTCGATTGGCAATATAGAATATATGGAAATCATAATAGTTTCAAAATGAAATTCGGTAATATAAATAGAAACTAACAGTATTACTACTTGAAATATTATTTATTATACACATATTTGTGGATTCTATTTGTATACAATAAAATTTTATAAAATATAAATGTTTACAGATAAAAATAATTATAAAACACTTCTTGCATCAGATTTTGGGATACATTACATGCCTGACCTTTATTTTTGTCGTAAAAAAAGATTTTCCTTTAGTTTTTGCAAAACATTCCTTTGGATGATTTGAATTTCATTGGAGATTTGGATTCCTTGCTTTTATTCCTGCAAACGCATTAAAAATCTTAAAAGCAACTAAGTACAAACTTTATTTTATGTTGAACATTACCTTTTCACCTAAATCCTTTAAAATTAAGCCGCAATTCCGTTTATTTTTTAAAATATTTTTACATAATTCACAATTCTTTTATTTTCTTTAATAATTATTTTTGTGAATGTCAACAATCGGTTGGAAACATCGAATTTATTTATGTTCTTTAACCACAATCGAATTTTTAAGTATTTATAATTGATATTTAGTTGCAATGATGGTATGTGGTTTATTTGACTCAAAATTTTCTCTTTAACAAATTTTTCGATTACAACTACTAATATTTAGAATTCTTAAGTTTGAATGCTAAATAAAATTCTGCTGTATTTACTGAATTAATAAAAACCATTTCACAAAAGATACAATTCGGTTGAAATTACCAATTCGGAAATTTTTATAGCCATAATTTGATTACAATCATGATTTTTCGGTTCTTAACATAGAAAATCACTCATATTTATAGTTTTTTAATATGAACGATAGAATTTTAATTAACTTTACCAAATATTTATAATGGAAACCGATTTCCTATCGATCTGTTTTCTGTGTGTAGTTAAAAATTTTTGTTTCGAATATTAGCCTTTTTTAAATTGATTTATTTTTAGATTTTTTTATCCAAGTGAATCAAATAAATAATATAGATAGAATGTACTGACTCCCAGCTTTCATTTGATACCAAGATTAGCATCATACAACACATATAAATATTTGAAATATGCGTTTGAAATTGTAAGTCCTTTAAACTTTGAAGTCCTTTTATAAGGACATAAGAGCTGATTATAAAAATCGGAGTACGCAGAATTGCTATAAATGGAATCTAGTTTCATATGCATACCAACTGTTCTATGTGTGAAAGCTTTCCTTCAAAATTGTCACAGGGTGTTATAATACATTTTTTTGTTCCACTTATTTTTTTTTGCTAAAAAAAGCTTTTAAACAAATACAAATACTTTGTATGATCTACTAATTAGAGATGTATATCAATTACGCTATTTTTCCGCCATTTATATACAAACAGCTAACTGCCTTTACATTATGTAAATTAAATTTATTGTATTTATTTAAACATTCAATCATTTATTTTAAGTCGAACTAGTAACGTCATTTTTGTTATAAATTATTCGTATTATTTATATTTTTTTATCCATTTCTATCAACACATTTGTTGACACTTGTTTTTTTATTTGATTTTTTTCCATTCTTCTTAATTCCCCAGGTTTTTTTATGATTAATCATTGGAAATTATTTAGTTGTTCTAACAGTTGTAAGTTTTTTTTTTTTCAGATACAAGTGCTAAGATTAATATGTATGGATGGAATAATAAGATGAAAAATTTCTTTGTAGTAAGAAAAGTGTATCGGTTTATGAGGAAAAAAATTGACGGATTAAAAATACAAATCTTTTTTTGTTTAAAACGGACTTATAAAAATGAAATAATATAAAATAAATTCTTATCATTAATTTATATTTTTTGCAGTTAATTAAATAAAATGTTTTGCGGTTTTTGTGGTTTGTATCGTTTAAATTGAGTTGCGCGATTTTATGACGAATGTGGTTTAATAAACTCAAATGTTGAACTTTTGAAGAGGATATAAAAAATACAATTGATTTTTTATTTAAATTTGTAATAGAAATAAAGTTGTTAGTTTTCTGGGAAATAACACTATTATAGTTGCTATGAATATTAATAAAGTTTTTAAGTAAATGCATTAGTTTGATATAAAAATTTATATAAGGATAGAAAATATTAAAAATTCATTTAACTTAACATAGATCTAAACTTTAAAATATTGTACTGATAATTTAAAAGCTTCAATTGATTTGTCAAATGTTTAAATGATCATCTTTTATTGACATTTAATTTAAAAACATATTTTTGATAAATTTCAAGAAAACTAAAAATTGCAAGACATTTTTAATAACGATTCTTATCAACAAAAAAAAAAAAAAACAACAACATTACATTGTTGTTAAAATCAAACTTTAACAGCAACATACAATCAAAACGATCGATTGATCAAAATTCACCACACTAGTCAACACAGAGGTGAAGAGCATAAATAAAACAACTTCAAACTGAGCGAAAAGAGTAACAATAAACCGTTAAAAATTTTCAATATTTAAAGAGTTTAATAATAAAATATACGGAAATTGAAATTAATTTTGAGTTCCTAACACAATAAGCATTTCAGAATCGAGAGAATAATTAAGAACAATTTATAAATTGACTTTTGAATATTGAAAACTTAGAAAAAAGTGTGTGTAGAAGAAAAAAGAGTTAATGAAATTTTCAAAAAAAGTAACGTGTGTGAGCACAACAACAAATAGTTTTTAATTGTCAATTGTAGGTGAATAGTGTTGTTTAAAAAAACAGTAAAGCTTTAAAAAGCAAAACCCTTCGGAAGTTAGTCGTTGGCGATAACTCGCTTGAGACGGTTGTTAAAGCGCTCGAAAAGTTAAGTAATAATAAATTTAAATAAATCAATAAATTTTGAATTGAGTTGAAAAAAAAACCTTCATAAAATAAATTTATAAAACGTCAGAGGCGCGCGCGCTCACGTTGGTTTAATATAAAACAAATAAAAAAAGAAAAAAATTAAATGAATAAATAAATAAAACCAGAAGTGTTTTCAAGCAAATTCAAAAGCAATTAAATAATAAATAAAGTTAGTGATTTTCTGTTTTTTTTGTTTATTTAGTTGGCGCTCTCTTATGTTTAAATAATTTATTTATAAAAATAATTAAGAGAAAATTTATGCAATATTCTAAAACAAAATAACAAATAAAGTAGTGAAAAAATATAATTACAAAATCCAAAAAAGAAAAGAAAAGTTTGTTTCTTAAATCTTTTGTTTTTGTCAACAGCAACCTGTTTTCTGTTTGAAAATGGAAAGTGTAGCTTAAGTGTTTTAAAATAGTTTCAATTTAAAAATGGCCTTAACAAACTTTTCTTTACCCTTTGGGGCTTTGGCCCAGTCGGGTGCTCCCTGGAGTGCCACAGTATCCCCTTTACATCCCATACACCAACAATTGGCTGCCAATACAAATAATTTACTTTACTCACCGGCCGATCATCAACAGCAGCCCACTGATAATGGTGCACCACCACCGGGTTCGGATTTTTACAAAAATAATCCCTATGCTCCTCCTCAGCAACCGCCACCGCAGCAGACTTCCTATCAATACAACAGTAATAATAACAACAATAATGGTAGGCGTAAAAATACTTATTTGCCCCCCATACCACCGCCAGGAGCCAGAAATACACAACAGCAACAATTTCATAATCAACAACAGTTTCAACATCATCAGCAATTTAGTCATATTAATACTCAACATCATCAACAGCAGCAGCAACAACATATAACACAAAATATTAACAATAACAACAATAATGTTTTTAAAACTGCTATATCATCTGGCTCAGCAACGGCCACATCAATTGCTACCGCCACAGCCACCGCTACAGCAAATACAAATACACGCACCTATGGTGAGGGTACTTACACTAGATTTCCAACAGTTCCAACTCAAAATCATAACAATATTAATAAAGATCATCAGCAACAACAACCACAATTTTATAATAATTTCCCATCTACTCCCCAACAACAACAACCAGCGAAACGTATAAATACAGCTGCTGCTGTCCCATCAGTCCCAAACCCTTCTACAACACAAACTTTTCCTAAATATGGTGTACCCCCTAATCAAGCGGAGACACCAGCTACCACATATGGTGCCACTGCATCTGGTAATAAGGCTGATAACTCAGGTTTACCTACACCCAACGATTCTAGTTCAAATGATCCCTATCCCGATAGACCGCCTGGTTTTACTAGAGTACAGGCGGGCCAAGGTTCTAAGACACGGGTACATGCTGTTTTAGATTATGATTTGGAGGAGGGTGAAGAAGAGGACTATTATGATGCAGAAGATCATGGGGAAACTGTTAATAAAGGTAATTTTAGCCATGAATTTTTCTTTAATTTTAAAAGTTTCTTTTGCAATTATCATTCAAATTATGAAATCTCTAGCGTTTAATGGTTTTTTTTTTTTGTTTATTGTTATTACAAAATTTATTTGAATTTAAAGATGAGCTGCTGCTACTCAGTTAAACTAACAACTATTCATTCAAACTATTTTCATCAATTGTCTAATAATTTAAAATGTATAAATCATGTCTAAAGAATTTTTCAAATACGTCAAAATCTGCAACTACGTAAGAGGAAAGACTACTAACAAGTACAGTTAAAAAGCAATCAACTTTAACAAATATGACTAATACCCGATAGAGAGTGAGAACTGTTTAAACAATTTGAGATTTTTTTCCGTTGACTTAAGACCCCAAAAGTCATTTGACACTTTGTTAAAACCGGGCGGCTTGTATATAAACAAACAGTCAGACAGACGGACAATTAATAAATCAATAAATTTATGTGTAATCGAAAAAAACATCTCGTACTCGCTTAACAAGCACTTTTTTGTTTAAATTTAAACATAAATTATTTCAAACATCTCGTGCTGACAAGTGTCATTGGATAATTTCTTAATAATTTTGTTGATATTTATGTTTTTATAAAGTTTAAGCCCAAAAATAGCGGCTTAAAAAAGGCAAAAGCAACAAATGAAAATAAATTGTTTTGTTGTATTTAAAGATCACATAAATGTACTTAAGAAAAGATTACATACTCTGCACAGTGGGTCTGATTATGAAATTAACTTTATAAAGGTTCAGTAAATTTAACTAGGAAATGTGAGTGATAGTGTAGTTAACCAAATAGATAAGTTTTGTAGATTTTTCCTATCTGCATTAATTTACTACTAGACTGTCATAACTCAAAATTCAAGATTTTTGTATTGGGCAATAAATTAGGCCATTCTAAAGTCATAAAAGTGAGAACGATATTTTGTTCTAAACATCTACTATATAAATCGGAGGTGGCGTGTTGAGTTGAGTCATAGTGTCCGCAGACGTTATCACAATTTCAAAAGTGTTACAACGTTTGTGAGCAAAATGACATAAAGTCCATGGATTTCAAACAATCAATTTATCAAAAAAGGTTTTACAGGTTTGTAGCAGAAATACAATCCATCTCGGCTCAAATCGGCGACGGCTGGTCGCCGGCCAAGTTTTGGCAAGCCACGCCGCCGCCGAATCAAAAACGTATGTTTTTCTTAAAAAATTATAACTGTGTTGCCACTTTTTTCAGACAAATTGAAAAGAGTTGCCACATCACTTCGTCTTTATGTATAAAAATTTTAAAAAACTGTTAGAAAAAATTTTTCATAAAAATAACAGTAATAATGACAATTTTCTATAGAAAATACTTATATAGAGATACTTTTCTATCTAACAAACCAAAATAAACACAATTTTCTATATAACAAACGCATATATAGAAAATTTTCTGTAAAGAACAAATTCTCAGCATAGATTTTGCCGATATTGCCGTTATGACCCGCCACCTAAATCGGGTTTCATCTTTGAAACCCCACGATTTTTAAACAAAAGCGATTCGAGTGATCTTACATTGTTTACAGATACATACCTATCTATGTATACGTTACTTTGCAATCGTTTTCAAAGAATTTAAAACTCTTTTAATATCTCAATCGCTACCGGTTTAAATCTACAGTTCAATACAAAATTATAAATAAAAATAAATAATTTCTTGTTTTTAATCTAAAATATAATATTAGAATCATAAAGATTTCAAATATTTTAAAAAATATTTCTTTTTAAACTTAAAGTAATAAATTATAAATATTTGGCTGCATTTTTGAAGGCATACTCATCATGGAACCGTAGCAATGCGTCGAGTATGACATTGTACTAATAATTTTTACCAACAAGTTTTCCGTTGTTTCTTACTTTTTGAAATGTTGTTGTATATTTATTATTATTAAATTCCGGTCTTTTTCTAATATTTGTTGTTATTCCGGTATTAGTTATTCAAAATTAATAAAAAAAAGTATTGAATAATAAAAGAAGAAAACAAAAACACAAAAATTTCATAAACTCTAGTTAAAACACGTCAACATCATTTTATTTAATAATTAATCTTTAACAACATGTATCAGATGTTTAACAACGTTAGAGAATTTGACCCACAACAAAAACTTGGTTAAGTTTTAACCTAATTTAATAAAAAAAGAAGAAAAAAATGATTTGATCTACTATTGATGATGTTATGTTCCTTGTCTTGTGTGACCTTGTGCTTAAATTGTTTTACAGGCCTTCTTTGACCTTGTAAAACATTAATTTTTATTTTCTTATATTGGTTTTAGTATCTGTTTTTATAGTATTTTCTATAAAATAAATAATAAAAAAGTGGTAATACAATACTTTTGAGAGGAGAATGATTTTTATTGTATATAATTGTTTAATAAAAGAATATTACTATATCAATTTTAACACTTTTATGGTGAATTGAAGTTTATCAATATGTAAATTATTCAATACTTTTGATTTATAACTTCTTTTTACAGATTTTATATTATTTAAAGATGCATATTACAGAGGATTTTTGTATTTTAAATTCATTGAAAGTTAAAACTAACAATTTTAATTGACCGCACAATGGGGAGCTATTTCAAATAAATGGTAGTGTAAACAGTAGGGTATTTATATGTAACAAAAAATATCCCAAACGTACATACATACATACAATACTAGCTGCAAACAAAGATTTAGCTTTGCCCCTCTGTTCGTTCAATACCTAGGCACGTTATCGAAACCTTCGGTTATCTAGTTCAGTTCTAGTTCTATTTCAGTTCTAGTTCAGTTCTAGTTCAGTTCTAGTTCAGTTCTAGTTCAGTTCTAGTTCAGTTCTAGTTCAGTTCTAGTTCAGTTCTAGTTCAGTTCTAGTTCAGTTCTAGTTCAGTTCTAGTTCAGTTCTAGTTCAGTTCTAGTTCAGTTCTAGTTCAGTTCTAGTTCAGTTCTAGTTCAGTTCTAGTTCAGTTCTAGTTCAGTTCTAGTTCAGTTCTAGTTCAGTTCTAGTTCAGTTCTAGTTCAGTTCTAGTTCAGTTCTAGTTCAGTTCTAGTTCAGTTCTAGTTCAGTTCTAGTTCAGTTCTAGTTCAGTTCTAGTTCAGTTCTAGTTCAGTTCTAGTTCAGTTCTAGTTCAGTTCTAGTTCAGTTCTAGTTCAGTTCTAGTTCAGTTCTAGTTCAGTTCTAGTTCAGTTCTAGTTCAGTTCTAGTTCAGTTCTAGTTCAGTTCTAGTTCAGTTCTAGTTCAGTTCTAGTTCAGTTCTAGTTCAGTTCTAGTTCAGTTCTAGTTCAGTTCTAGTTCAGTTCTAGTTCAGTTCTAGTTCAGTTCTAGTTCAGTTCTAGTTCAGTTCTAGTTCAGTTCTAGTTCAGTTCTAGTTCAGTTCTAGTTCAGTTCTAGTTCAGTTCTAGTTCAGTTCTAGTTCAGTTCTAGTTCAGTTCTAGTTCAGTTCTAGTTCAGTTCTAGTTCAGTTCTAGTTCAGTTCTAGTTCAGTTCTAGTTCAGTTCTAGTTCAGTTCTAGTTCAGTTCTAGTTCAGTTCTAGTTCAGTTCTAGTTCAGTTCTAGTTCAGTTCTAGTTCAGTTCTAGTTCAGTTCTAGTTCAGTTCTAGTTCAGTTCTGTTCAGTTTCAGTTCTAGTTCAGTTCTAGTTCAGTTCTAGTTCAGTTCTAGTTCAGTTCTAGTTCAGTTCTAGTTCAGTTCTAGTTCAGTTCTAGTTCAGTTCTAGTTCAGTTCTAGTTCAGTTCTAGTTCAGTTCTAGTTCAGTTCTAGTTCAGTTCTAGTTCAGTTCTAGTTCAGTTCTAGTTCAGTTCTAGTTCAGTTCTATGTTCATGAGAGTGTATTGTTTATGCATAAATACATTGGAGATCGGTAGATGTATTAGATTTGGCACAGCCAAAACTTCGTTTTAGGCTTAAAAGCTTACGGAACTACAACATTTAAAATGTGAAATCTAACTTCTTGCCAAAAAATTTAACAACTCTATTAAAAAATCATAAAAACAAGAAAAATATCAAATTAGCAATAAACATTTGATAATTTAATTTGTCATTCTATAATTAATGGAAAAACCCATTAATAATTTTGCATATTTTTAAAAAAAATTATCAATTAACTTATTTATGTTTAACACACGTCATTGAACTAATTAAAATTTTTCATCAAACTAAAACTGAAAGACCACCCACATAAACGTTTTTAGTTAATGGAAACAAATTAAACATTAAGTTTTTAAATTAGCGTTTTTAATATGAGATCATAAAAGAGGAAGACAGTTTCAAATTTGTAGCTAAAACAATTAACTAAGCGATTTAAATTTGTTGCAAATGTTTGGGGTTTTTAAAATATAATTTAACTATTTGTTGTCATTGGATACAATTTGTCTATCTACTAAATACAAGTTACTGACCAAATACCTGAGTCAGTTTAATATGAACAAAAATATTTGCATTTAATTGCTGCTATTTTATTTTCTGTTGATATTGTCAATCTGTGTTTTTTTGCTATTTTATTATTAATGTTATTATTGTTGACTTTTGCCTTAAAAATTTTATTTTGCATGATTTTTTGGCAACTACAAGTTTTCAAATAAAATTTTTAAACAAATTGTTTTTTTTTTCTGATACATTTCATACTCTTTTATCTATACATATAAATATTTATTTATTTTAAAAAATCAAAACTGGTTACTAATTTTATACTGAAAAAGTGCTTGATGTTTGTTTCTAAAAATTATTTAATACATTTTATTTAATTTATTAAGTTTTTTTGTTTGTTTGAGCTGTGTGTTGATTTGTTTTAAAGTGCTCATCGTTTATTGTGTTTGTTTAATGAATCTTTTTTTTTTTTTGTCAAACATTTGTATATATTTTTTTGTTTTATTTTAATTTAATTATTTTTAACTGTTTTGCACCCCATCTGTATTCAGACAGTTGTCAGTCATTTAGTCAATTGATTGTCGCCGGTACTGAGTGCAT